TTCATAGAACTCCCCCTTTTTTCCTAAAGCATAGAATAAAAACTGAGGTTTCGTTGTTGTTTTTTTTGCTTGTTATTTGCTTTTTTGTTTTATTTGCTTTTATTTCTAATATTTTCAAACACAGAGTTCATATAGCCCAGGCTGGCCTCAAATGTATTAAATAGCCAAGAATGGCCTTGAATTCCTGATCCTCCTACCTGGGCCTCCCTGTAGACCTGCACCACCCATAGTCATGTAAACCTGAGTTTTTGAGACAGACAAACCAGATCCAAAGTCTGGATCTGCCATTCTCTGGCTATGTGAGTGTGTGTGAATTGTTTACCTCCTCTGACTCTCAAAGATGAAATGAAATCCATATCTGCCTATAAGGCTGCTGTGGACATTAAATAAGATCACGCCTATCAAGCAGGAAATAATACTGAAGTTTCTTTTGCCTGCTTGGTCTAAGCTATCTTCACAGAGCCACCTTCAACCCTATCAGTATCCTTCATACCTGCTCTGTCCAATACAGTAGCTACAAGTGGCTTATGAGGTCTTGTGATGGGACTGGTCCTAACCCAATGCTATCAGCATAAACTATGCACTAGATTTCAAAGATTTGGTATTGAGAAACTACATATAAGCTGGGTATGGTAGCACACATCTTTAATCCCAGGACTCGGGAAGCAGAGCTCTGTGAGATCAAGGCCAGCGTGCTCCACATATCCAGTTCCAGCCCAGCTGGGGCTACATAGTGAGACCAAACCAGGAATGGTGGCATAAGCCTATAACCCCAGCAAAAAGGAGGGGGATGCAGAAGATTGCAAGTTTGAGGCTAGCCTGGGCTACCTAGTGAGTTAATTATTTTCACATGTTCCTCTTTCATGTGGCTGCTGAGCACTTTAAAAGTTTTGAGACTTGCCACCAAGCCTGATGACCTGAGTTTGATCCCCAGAACTCACAAGGTGGAAGGAAAGAACCAACTCCTGCAAGTTATCCTCTGACCTCCTACACACACGTGCACACATACACATACAGTCATTCAATAAAATGTTAAAAAAATGGTTCTTGTTAGGTTTCTATTGGCCAGTACTACCTTAGATCACAGATGACAGCTCCAGTTCCCACATAAGTCACATAAGTGAGGCTGGTTCTAATGAGATATTTTTGCTCTGGAAATTGTGAGTGCCCTCCAAAGGTTCCCACTGCCTCTACTCCATAAATCTGTGCCATGCCTTTTGTTTTCAGATCTTCCAACTCTCAAGTTAGAAAGCAGACTTTTATATTTAATTTTCTGACTTTTAATGTTAATAAGTAATTCAAAAATTTGTCAATACCCTCTGGGCCAGGTAGTCCTTCTCTGTGGGCTGGATCCAGCCATGGGCCACAGTTTATAGTTTTCAGATAGTTCCGTGGGTCCCCTCTCCCTGCCATCACCCCTGTCCTATCCTCGGAAGCACAGCATGCTTCCTTCCATTAAAATGAAACAGTCACAAAACACAGGCAGGGTCCTCCTTGCTGTCCAGTCTCCAGTCTCTCTAAAGGAACATTACACCAATGGGAACTTAAGACAATAAGCTGTTTCTATGACCTATGGCAGTAGATATTGATGGTAAATGGTACAGAAGCCAAGCAGGACTGCTGCTTGGAAACACTGTTAAAAAGGAAGTGATTAGAAAAATTCAAATGCATTAGAATTTTAAGTCTTTGTCTTGACATTCCTGATTAGTGGAAAGCTCACTTTGTTTCATTCTTAGCATCAAAGATCATTGATGCTGAATGAAGATTTAGAGATAGATTACCTCTCCTAGCATAAGAACACTGAGGCCCAGGGAGGATCACTGACTTGTCAGTGTGAAAATAATGTTTGGTACAGAACTGCACTTGAACCCAAGGCCACTGACTTCAAGTCCAATTATGATAGTTCTCTGTTTGTAGAACCTTGACATTCACAGACATATTGCTTTGCATGGTTTGTTGACAATCAGAAAGGGGGGATTTGACTGCTAACGTTTTTTCTTTCTCTTTAACACAGAAAGTCCCTCTACAGAATCCTCCCATTAAGTGGGCCGAGGGCCATAAGGGAGTATTTAATATTGAAGTGCAAGCTGTTTCTTCCGTTCACACCCAGGTAAGGAACCCCAAGACCAACTCTGAATCAGACCCAGCAGGCTAGGAATGGAGGTACAGGCAAGAAATCGTCCAAGGACAGGCCAATAAAAGATCAAGTCTTTGTGAATAACTAAAACCTGACCTTTTGATTCTTTGTGGGGACTTACAAGCCTATTCAGGCTTCATTTGTCTTTTAAAAGGAAAGAACTTAGGAAAACACTGACCACCTAAGTCAAGTGACTTAATGCCTGCTGCATTGGTTGAGAACCTGGGGCGGAGCTCTGAAACTTTTTCTCCTGTTATTTTGTTCCTCTTTGTCTTCTGCCATTTTACCAGTTTAAAAACAAATCCATTCCTTTTCCCCCTTTGCCTGCCAATGTTTGGGTTATACATCTGCTTAAATCCTTTTTTTGGCAGCACAGTTCCTGGTATACCAACTTTGCTTACAAAGTGAGTGATACTTTATTTTTGGTTAAAAATTATCAAAGCTGGAGAGATGGCTCAGCAGCCAAACGCACTGGCTGCTCTTGCAGAGGACCTGGGTTTGGTTCCTAGCGCTCACATGGTAGCTAACAATTGTCCCTAACTCCAGTTTTAGGGAATCTGACACCCTCTTATGGCCTTCATGAACACTGTATGACATGGGTACACTTTCACACATACAGACAAGACCCTCCTACACATTAAATAAAAATAAAACAAATTTTTAAAAATTTTTGTGATTTAAAAAAAATTTATTTATTGTTTATTTTATGTGTATAAGTATATTGCATGAATGTATGTAAGTGTACCTGTGTCATGCAATGCCTGTGGAGATCAGAAGAGGGTATTGGACTCCCCTGGAACTGGAGTTATAGATGGTTGTTAGCCACCATATGGATGCTGGGAATCGAACACAGGTCCTCTGCAAGAGCAGCCAGTGCTCTTAATACTGAACCATCTCTCCATCCCCCAATTTTTGTGACATTTATACAATATAATTTGATGGGGGGCCAGATAGATGGCTCATCAGTTGAGAACACTGGTTGTTCTTGCAGAAGACCCAGGCTCAAATCCCAGGACCCACATGGCAGCTAACAACTGTCTATAACTCCAGTCCCAGATTATCTGACAGCCTCTTCTGTCCTCCATGAGCATTGCACGACACAGGTGTACTTACCTACATGCAGGCAATATACACATACACATGAAATAAAAATAAATAAATTTTTTTTAAAAAGCAATGTAATTTGATGGTATTTAGATACCCTCCCCATCTGCATTTCCCCTTATTGCTCCCCCTGCAATTTAATGTACTCTATTGTATCAATAATAAAAGTCAATATACACATACACATGAAATAAAAATAAATAAATTTTTTTTAAAAAGCAATGTAATTTGATGGTATTTAGATACCCTCCCCATCTGCATTTCCCCTTATTGCTCCCCATGCAATTTAATGTACACTATTGTATCTATAATAAAGCCTGTAGAGTCTAATTTGTGTCCCCAAATGTCCTTCAGTATGGGTCCATCCACTGGAGCCTAGTTAATCTACCAAGAGATTAATCTACTTTGAAAGAGATTGTCTCTGCCCCTTCCAGGAGTCATCTCTTGCCACAATTTCCTTAGGTGGGGTTGAAGTTTCTTACCCCCTTCCCCATGTCTATGTTGGGATTTTGTCTGCTTTGAGCTTACATGGGACTCGTGCATGCTGTCACCATTGCTGTGGGTTCATATGAGGAACTGACCAGCTGTCTGGAAAACTCTGTTTCCTTGTGGTCAACTACCATCTCTGGTGCTTACAATCTTTCCTCCCCCTCTTCTGAGCCTTGAGAGGCAGAAGTTTAATATAAAAATAAATAAATCGCCGGGCATGGTGGCGCATGCAATCCCAGCACTTGGGAGGCAGAGGCAGGTGGATCTCTGTAAGTTCAAGGCCAGCCTGGTCTATATAACAAGTTCCAGGACAGCCGGGGCTACAGGGAGACCCTGTCTCAAAAGAACCAAAAATAAATAAATAAATAAATAAATAAATAAATAAATAAATAAACAAACTTTTTTTTTAAGTATAGA